ACTATGATTACTATGATACATGTGTTGTGATACTAAACATGACGTCCTCCGCCCCCAAATGTTTCCGTCGTTCCGGTTTGGGGGTGTGACAACTTCCTCAAGAAAAGCATCAAAAGCATCGAGATTTGGAATATACATAGTAATAAAACTTACAACAGAAAAATCGTAACTTTATATGAGATAAATCTCACAGAAAGGATCGATAACAATTAGCAAATAATATTAACTATTTAGAACCGTTTCCCTGGCAACGGTGCCAAAAACTTGATTCGTGTTGATTGTACTAGTTTTAATCCTACTAACTTAAACATAAAAACAAACACACGAAGGCATTGTACCTATCGATTAGTAGTATAGTTCAGGCAAGTATGGTATCGAACTCATGGAACGGTAAATAATTAAAATATTACTAATATTATATAAATAAAACAATTATTAAAAATGGGGTTTTCTCTAGTTTTGCAAAACTTGAAACTTAAGCAATTACTAAACACTTCAACAAAGGACAATTAACAACTAAAAGAGAAGCAAAAGACAACTAGATTCAATAAGATAAAAGAGACTTCCGTTTAGATTCCATTCACTTATTCCTATGGTTGATTTCGTGGCAAGTGCAATGGATTAATATATCAGTGGTTACCGATTTCTAATATGATTAGGTTCATGTTCACCATTACTAATCCTTTAGCAAACCAGTTAATTCAAACAGTGGCCAAGTGATTAAACTAACAAGTTTCCTAGTGTTCAGTTTGAATCAAGTAAGACTTGTAATAATAGCTAATTAAATTGGTTGGTTCAATTAACTCATATGTGGTTGGTCATCACACATGCTCACACATTAATTTACTTATTTTCTAGTTAACCCTATGTCACACCCCCAAACCAGACGGCGGAAACGTCCGGGGGTGGAGGACTTCATTTGTAGTATCACAACACATGCATTATAGTAATCAGAGTACAAACAACCACTGTAATTTAAAAAGTATAAGTATTTACATGTGTTTCGTCATAGTATACTAAAACCAAATAGTTATACAAAAGAAGAAGACAAGACATAAATAGCTCCATCTTCTCAAAAGCTCGGGGAGTACCTGACTACTGGTTCCCTGAGAATACAAGTAATTTGAAAAGAGAGTATCAACATAAAGTTGAGTGAGTGCATAGGTATTTATGTTTTGAAAGAATGTTTTCTGTTTCTTGAATATGTAAACTGTTCTAGAAAATCTTATATCTTCTAATGTATATGAAAAGTAGTTTTTGTTACATAAAATTGTTCTATTTGTAACCAAATGCTCTGTATTTGTAATCCTTTTGTAAACTTGTATCTGAGAGTATGTCTGATTTTTTCATCTGTTATTGTAAATTGTAATGTAATACTGTAAACTGTATCTTGTAAACTAGTACTTTGAAAATGTACTTAAGTTTAGTTAATTATACACTAACGTATTGTTAATATCTTTTATATGAGTTATTATAACCATACTGACTAGATGGCCTGACCCAACTCTATGAATGCGCTGAAAACATGTTGATATCAATTTTTCACTCACAGGCGCATATGTCTGACTGTAGCTAGCAGTCAGAGTGTTGGGTTGTCAATCCCAATATAGATCTATACACACATTGTTTCGATCCCCGGCTGGAGATTCTGGTTATAATGTCAGGACTTTACTATATTGTTTAAATGAATTAAACAACCTGTACTACTTGACTCATAAAAGCATATAAACGTTACATGTATAATAGTTAAGAAAAACCCAATCATTCTGGAATAAATGACTGACTGTATGTTCTTGAATTGGTATGCTTAACATGTAATTTGAAAGATGTATACTCTTGATTAGTTTTGAATCAAACATTTGTTCTTGTAAAACAATGTACTTTAGTATACTTGAATCGTGAATTAATGTTCTGTGAATCATAAATTATACCTATTATAAATTATATGTACTTTCTGTATTGATACCGAGTATTCATGAATGCAACCCCTTGCTCAACATGTTACAAAGGGTAATTGAAACTTAATGAACTAACTTTTATACTTGTATACATATACAAATATATATATATATATATATATATATATATATATATATATATATATATATATATATATAAGTAAAATTTAAATGACACTCGGACAAATAACTGATGCTTATAATCCCACATCCAAACAACGAAAAGGAACCGAAGTAGGTTATCAGTCCTAAGTCTTTTAAATCTTATATATATATATATATATATATATATATATATATATATATATATATATACTAGTATGATTTTTGGGAGAAATATAAAGTTTGATATTTTGAAATTCATTTTGGTGACTTGATGTCATTTTGATACAATCATTGAAAACCATTTGATTTGATGATAACTGAAATCCATTTTGATAATGAAATCTATTTTGAGAAGATATTTGAAACCATTTGTTTATAACACAAAATCTTTGTGTTAGACTTTTATTCCCCCCCCCCCTTAAAACAGTAAAAACTATGAAAATACGGGGGTATGAACTCACCTGTAGTGAGTGATTCAAATGTAAGATCGATGTAGGATGCTAAGTGTCAAGTGAAGTCTTGAACACAACGGGTCCTATTAGCATATAATGATACATATATGGATAAAATTAGTGTATATACAACTAATTATGATAGGAAACCACTTTAGGGACTAGAAAATACTTGAATTGAAGTGTTACAATCACATATGATTGCATTAAAGGGGTTTTACGGCCACTCAAGGGTGTTTACGGCCATAGTGTTTACGACCATAGTGTTTATGGTCAAAGATGTTCACGGCCATGGGAGTTTACGGTCAATGAAGATCTTGAGGAGGGTTTACGGCCAAGGGAGATGCTCATGGCCGTAAACTCTTATTGTTCTTGGAAATGGTTGTTTTCAAGGGTGTATGTTAAGAGCTTCTATAGGATAACTAGTATATGGAAGATTACTTACGTTTTGAAGCTTGAAGGGGTGTTCACGGTCTAAAGAACTAGTGTGTGTTCTTGGTGTTCTTGGTGTTCTTGAAGATCTAACCCAAAAGAGATGAATTCAAGGATGAAATCAAGAGGTTTTACTAGATCAAGAAGGATATCAACTTAAGAATGGAAGGATCACTTACAAATTTGGTGAGAATTAGAAGTGTTCTTGATGATACTTGAGAGAATTTGAGAGTTCTTGACTGGAGGATATGAGAAATGAAGGAAAAAGGAAGAAAATCTATATATACGTGTGAGGGTTTACGGTCGTGAACCTCGTTTACGGACTGAGGTCGGTTAAAGTTTACGACCGTGAACAAGTTCCAATGCGATAAGGTTTGGTTTCGGAGAAGATAAGATCCGAAAGTATACGGCCGAAGCCGTTCACGGCCTCGTTTACGGTTGCGAGGATTTACGGCTGTGAGGAGTGTACGGCCGTAAACTCTTTGCAGTCCGAAGCGAAGGAAAAGGATGCGAAGTTTCTTGGTTTTTAAGCCCTTTCCTTCTAAATTCAGTTGTAGATATTTTAAGGATTTTAACAAACAAATGTTATTATTATAACCTAAATAAAAACCCAAACAATAAAAAGGACCTTAGTTGACCCTCGTTTGACTTGAGTTGACTTTACAAGATAGAAAATAACGGGATGTTACACCCTAGGTTATGTTCACAACACTAAGCATACAATCTTGTTTTCACAAAACTATAACATTCAATTAATCAAGAAGATGTCCATGCAACTCAATATACTTAGTCATTAACAGAAAATAATTATCATTAACACATAAGGATCTTTCAACAAGCTTAACAAGATAAATAACCAAATCAATATAATCCAAAACCACTAATCAAACCATATTCATAAGATCATCTAGTCTAAACAGAAGTATGGAGTTTTAGCCCATAACTTCAGCAATTAACATCATAAAAATGAAATTCATCAATGTACACATAATGTAAACAAGAGAATTAAGTAAATTACTAATGATTTTGCCTTTAGATCTCTTCAATTCCAAGCCTCTAGTTGAATTTCGAAAACCACAGCTTCTAAGAACCTCTCTGACCTCCAAATGTCGCTAAAAGCCTCCATCCAACGTTAGGGTTTCGAGTGAAAATGATCTATATATAGATTCTGAAAAATAGCTCAACTGGTCGAGTTTTAGGACCCGACTCGTTGAGTTTTTTACTTAAATCACGTGTACGACAAGACACTATTTTGCCGGGAATCTTCATTTCAACTCGTCGAGTTGGAGGACCCAAAATCGCCGAGTTCATTTGAAATCAACATTTCCTCAAAGCAGGAAAGTTGTCCGAAATTGTGTCTAGTTTTTAGAACATTTTGAATCTCGTCAATCGAAGTTATGATTCATGAGATATGGCCAAAACACTGACGAGGGGTCAAGGTGTCCAGCAACATCCTTCTTTCTTCAAAATCCAAGATTCAAGCTTCCAATCGCCAATTCCGCTTCCTTTTCCTTCCGAGCATGTCTTTGTTGCTGAAATGAGATTTTAAACTAATTAAGTACCTTTTGTTCATTATTTGAGACAAAAACAACATAAAGTATTAAGATAATGCATGAATTTTATATCTAAATATGCACATATCATTGATCATTCTAAACCAGGTCATGTATGCCTTCTTCACAAGTCTCTGTATGGCCTCAAGCAAGCTCCACGGTCCTAGTTTCAACGCTTGTCCACTACGTTGCATCAATTTGGTTTTTTGGGTTCTCACACAAATCCGTCTTTATTTATGTTGAGAACTGGTCGAACTCTAATTTATATTCTTCACTATGTGGATGATATTATTATTACATGTAATGAAGATGAAACAATTGCTCACATCATTCAATAGTTGGACTCCACTTTTACCATTAAAGACCTTGGCAAGCTATATTACTTCAAGGGAACTGAAGTTGTCTCTCGTAATTTGGGCCTCATATTGTCCCAAAGGAAGTATATTTTGGACATCCTTCATCGTTCGGGTCTCAAGGATTGCAAACAAGTCAACTCTCAAATGACCACCACCACTCAGGTATCATCTATTGATCACAGTCCTATTCTGTCGGATCTGTCTATTTATAAACAACTGGTTAGAGCTATTCAGTATGCTAGTATTTCTAGCCCTGACATTGCCTTCTCCGTCACAGAGCGTGTCAATTCATGCATGCACCTACCGAAAATCATTGGTATGCCTTCAAACGCATCTTGCGGTACTTATATGACAAAAATGATTTTGGCCTGCTCAATTGACACAATTCGTGTTCCTCTCTACCAACCTTTATGGATGGTAATTGGCAACATTCTGCAACTGATTCCTATGCGCCTTCTTAGATTCAGACTGGGTTGGCTACCCCGATGATCGGCATTCGACGAGAGGATTTGCTATATATTTGGAATCAAACTAGATCTCATGGACCACCCGAAAACAGTGTATAGTCTCAAGATCCTCAACCGAGTCAAAGTATAAAGCCCTTTGCTGAAACTGAATTAATCTGGTTGAAAGCTCTCCTCAATGAACTAGGAGTTGTAGTGCAATATCCACCTATTCTTTCGTGTGACAATCTTGGTGCTACGTATCTTGGTGCTAATCCGATTTTTCATGCACGCACTAAACATGTTGAAGTGGATTTTCACTTTGTTCGTGAACATGTGGCTTCTTGTCAGTTATGTGTTAAGTTCTTCCCCACTGTTGATCAGATCACAAATGTTTTTACAAAACCGTTATTTTCTCAAAGATTTTTCTTTTTACGATCCAAGCTACAGGTTGTTTCCTGCCCTTAGCTTGCGGAGGAATGTTAGACTAAGTTTAGCATCGCATAATACATTGCTTATATTAAAGGGTACCTAATTGTATTTATCTAATAGTATCTAATAATACATATTAGGTTCATATGTAATCTTTGAATTTCATAATACAATTCACGGTTTGATTGTGGGTTAAATATGAATACGTATTTAACAAAATTGTTAGCAATGGTAACAAGTCCAAAACTTCTGGTAATCTTGTATCTTGGGTCGAGTTTTGTCCCTGTGTATATGCTCCTATATTCAGTTCACGTTCTGTTCGCAATACAATTTTGATTGCCCCTTGTGTTTTTTTTTTATGATTTATATTTACTGTTAGTCTCTTGAAGGTTCTTGCCCTTGGGTTTTTGATGTTGTCTACTTAATATATTTATTTTTTATTTTAATGTAAAACTTTCAGCAAGAACATATGTATTCAACAAAGACATATAAATAAGACTTATTAAGACTAATAAAATAAATAAATGAATTTCTAATCAAAATACGAAAATATAAATAGATTGGATACTACAAAAGAAAGTAAAAGTGATCTTTTGTTTTTACATTGGGACCAACGGACAAATATAACATTAGTTATATTTAGTTCACATGGCCTAGTAAACCGCCTTTACTTTTTTTTTCTAAGTTAACATGGTTTGATTCTTGCTTCCCTACCTTCATTTTTTTATTAATCAGACTTTTATTAATACACATCATTTTAAGAAAACTTCTTTAAAATCAGTTTGTAGTTTAGCTAGCCAAGAGTGCTGCCATTATTCCTTACTTCAAAATCGACCAAAGGTTCTGTTTTTGTCTTTTCACAAAAGGTTTGGTTCTTATCTTTCACAAGTTCTTTGGTTTATTAATTAATTAGTTTTCATTCCTTATTCCTGTTTACTTGGGGGCTTATTCCTGTATGCTTTGCCACCATTGTTGTCTACATACTAATAATTTTTGCACAATTGGAACCACTTATTTGTGAAGAGGCGGTTAAGATTCAGTTTTATTTTATTGAATATCGTATTTGCTTCCATGTTATTATAACTTTTCATACGCTTATTTGTTTCTCTTTCACAAGTGCTTTTACGTTTCCTTACCTTTGTTTTCGATTGTCATAGAGTTGTATAATGCGAACTGTGGGTCCTCCTGCTAATTGGATGAAATCATGAAAGTATACATGCGAGAAACCAAGTATAACTGAAGCACCGGCATTTATACACGGTTTTTTTTAATCTTTCATAGAGATAAAAATAAACTTGAGTGTTCTTTAAATTATTTGTAAAAAAATGTGTTTGGTTTGATTATGAAAGTACTAGGACCATAATCTATTTTTGATATGGATTAAATTATATCTATATGTTTTATTAATTTAATATTATAAAACTTATATAACTGTAAAGTAATCTATCAAATAGTTTTGAACTAGCTAAAAAATAGAGCATTTGTTATACTTTGTTTAATTTGTAATTATATAAGGTGACTATATGTGTTATCATCCATACTTTTCCTTTCTTTGTTCAAATCGGTAAAATTCGAAAATAATGAAACGAATATTGATGGAAAACATGACCCGTCATTTATGTATATAAAAATACATGTATTGATCTAAGCCTACTTTTCCGATTTTATACTCTAAAAGGAAAATAGTTTCTAGTTCGAATTAGTTTTGCTCATCCAAATATATATATATATATATATATATATATATATATATATATATATATATATATATATATATATATCATGTTAGTCAAAAATTTATTTTTAACAATAACTAGAAAGTAACCCACGCGTTGCACGGGCCGGAAGATGTTCTATATTTAGAAGTTCAACAAAAAATAATAGGATACTATTGTTATAACAAATAAGATACTTGAAAGTTGAAAGTACAATGCGTTAGGTGGACCATGTTGACTTTTCAGGTGAACACAAAGGTCAAAACATTAAACTTTATGAACATAATTCATCATTCAGATTCACAAAACATACTTCAAAATCTTTAACTATCGGGAAAATCATCTGAGTCTCACCTAAATACAACAACATTATCTAAAGAACCACCCTTGATGAGTCCTGCAAGTGAAAGTTGTTGTATTGTTAAACTAAGTCTAGTAAAAGGTACACCTTTATTTCTAGCCCTGGCATTGCCTTCGCCGTCACAGAGTGTGTCAATTCATGCATGCACCTACCGAAAATCATTGGTATGCCTTCAAACGCATCTTGCGGTACTTATAGGACATAAATGATTTTGGTCTTCTCATTTGACACAATTCGTGTTCCTCTCTACTAACCTTTATGGATGGTAATTGACAACATTCTGCAACTGATTCCTATGCGCCTTCTTGGATTCGGACTGGGTTGACTGCCCCGATGATCGACATTCCACGAGAGGGTTTGCTATATATTTGGAATCAAACTAGATCTCATGGACTACCCGAAAATAGTGTACTGTCTCAAGATCCTCAACCGAGTCGAAGTATAAAGCCCTTGCTAATACTGAATTAATCTGGTTGAAAGCTCTCCTCAATGAACTAGGAGTTTCAGTGCAATATCCACCTACTCTCTGGTGTGACAATCTTAGTGCTACCTATCTTGGTGCTAATCCGATTTTTCATGCACGCACTAAACATGTTCAAGTGGATTTTCTCTTTGTTCGTGAACATGTGGCTTCTTGTCAGTTACGTGTTAAGTTCTTCCCCACTGTTGATCAGATCATGAATGTTTTTACAAAACCGTTATTTTCTCAAAGATTTTTCTTTTTACGATCCATGCTACAGGTTGTTTCCCGCCCTTAGCTTGCGGAGCAATGTTAGACTAAGTTTAGTATCGCATAACACATTGCTTATATTAGAGGGTACCTAATTGTATTTATCTAATAGTATCTAATAATAAATATTAGGTTCATATGTAATCTTTGAGTTTCATCATACAATTCAGGGTTTGATTGTGGGTTAAATATGAATACCTATTTAACCAAATTGTTAGCAATAGTAACCAGTCCAAAACTTATGGTAATCTTGTATCTTGGGTCGAGTTCAGGCCCGGTTTTAAGGGGGGGGGGGGGGGGGGGCAAGAGGGGCAACCGCACAGGGTTCCGAAAAAATTAGGACCCGAGTTTTAATTAGATTATATATTTAATAACTAAATATATATGAATTTATTCAAGATATTACATAAAATTCGTGTAGCCCAATTGGCAAAGACTAGTCCCTATGTAAAAGCAAAATGGGTTCAAATCTTGTTTAGTGCATTTTGACTTTTTAAATTAGAGTTATAGATTTGGCCATTTCTTTTTGCTATATATTTCATAAACAACCCCTCCTTCCAATATGTCTAACAAATCAGTTTTTAGAAGTTACATAATTAGCCCTTAAACTTTTTATAAAATTCCATATGTTCCTTTTTAATTAATTTATTTACTTTTAAGTTACAATTGCATTTTGACTTTTTAAATTAGAGTTATAGATTTGGCCATTTCTTTTTGCTATATATTTCATAAACAACCCCTCATTCCAATATGTTTAACAAATCAGTTTTCAGTAGTTACATAATTAGCCCTTAAACTTTTTATAAAATTTCATATGTTCCTTTTTAATTAATTTATTTACTTTTAAGTTACAATTCACGGTCTTAAGTTTGTTTTCCTTATATATTAAAAAATTGTATTTAGGGCTCCAATTTTCTTTTTAGCACAGGGCCCTTAAAATCTACCAGCCGGCCCTTGTCGAGTTTTGTCCCTGTGTATATGCTCCTATATTCAGTTCACGTTTGGTTCGCAATAAAATTTTGGTCGAAATTGCCCCTTTGTTTTTTTATGATATCTGTTTAATTGTTAGTCTCTTGAAGGTTCTTTCCCTTGGGTTTTTGATATTGTCTACTTAATATATTTATTTTTTATTTTAATGTAAAACTTTTGAGTAAGAACATATGTATTCAACAAAGACATATAAATAAGACTTATTAAGACTAATAAAATAAGTAAATGAATTTCTAATCAAAATACAAAAATATAAATAGATTTGATACTACAAAAGAAAGTAAAAATGATCTTTTGTTTTTATATTGGGACCAACGGACAGATATAACATTAGTTATATTTAGTTCACATGGCCTAGTAAACGAATTTACTTCTTTTTTTCTAAGTTAACATGGTTTGATTCTTGCTTCCCTACCTTTAATTTTTTTTATTAATCTCACTTTTATTAATACATGTTAGAAAAACAGGATATAGATATACTTGGATCAGTGAGAGTTGTGAGACATTTTCAGATTAAAGCATTTCGAGGGTACACTCAAAATCTCTAATCGGATGAAACTCACTATTTTTTTAGAAGGGAGAATGAAGAATATGTTATTAAATCTGTACCCAAAATGAATCCGAAAATGATCGTATAACAGAAACTAACTTCCTGTCTTTAAATTGTCATATGATAGTTACAGGAAAACAACTTCCTATCCAAAAAACGGTCATATTACCTGTCATAAACCAACATAAAACCGGGTCTATAAATGAATCACAAAACCGCGTGTTTTTACCAAGATTACGGATTTCTGAGACATTTTTTATATAGTAAC